GACATTTCTACCACTGTAGCCGAGATGCAACGTCCGAAGTCACCACCAACCGCAGCGAGGCGAGCCGCGGTGGCGCAGCCTCCAGCATGCGTCAGTGCCTCTCCCTTGCACTCCTCTTTCCGCCCGGCAGGAAAAGCTCCCGCTGCTGGCTGCCCTCCAACCGCTCTGTCGCCACCACCAACCGCAGCCCCGACTCCAGTTGGCAAAAGCGTGTGCCCCTCCTCCTAGTTCCCTAAGCCAAGGACTGAGCGCCGACACTGAACAGCCTGAATTGGCCTGATGCCGCCTCAGCATGCTTTATATACTGATGTTACACCACACGCAGTTCCTGGACTACATGGTCTGATTGGATGGGAGAAAAACCCCCAGGCCTACTCTGATTGGACTTTATTTTCATGCTGTGATTGGTTGTCTTAAGACTTGCTCTCACCCAATAAGAACATGATAATAAAGTCCAATCCGAGTAACCCTGGAGGTTTTTTCATGTCCAATCAGAACACGCCATCCAGGAATCCTCATGTATATAAGCTCAGTATATGCATGATGCTGAAGGGAAGTGAGGGCCTTCCGGGTTCTCATACTTTCCTGTAGAGCTGCTTAGTGCCTGGCTTAGAGGATCGGGAATGGGTAATTACCGGTCGTTTGCTGGAGGCTGGAGCATAGCAGCTCGACTCGCTGCTGTTGGTGGTGGTGGCAACTGAGACAGCAGCGTGGCTGGAGCAATAGGAGGAGGAAAATAGCTTTGGGATAGATGGAGGGGGGTCAAGAGGGTGGTTAGTGCGAAAGGGAAAAGAGGATAGCGAGCAGGAGAAAGTGTTGCAAAATGGTTAGTGCCAAAGGGAAAGGAGGATAGCGAGCAGGAGAAAGTGTTGCAAAAATACCGTGGGGAAAAGATGGTGGGAAAAAATTTTTGGGTAGATGGGGGAGGGGAGAAACAGGGTGGGGAGCGGGAGGGAGGGAAGGTTTTGCAGAAAGGCGGTGGGTAAAAGTTTATGGGTAGATGGAGAGGGAAAAGAGGGTGGCAAGAGGGAGGAGGAAAGAGGGTGGTGGTGGGGGGAAACGGGGGCGAGCAGTAGGGAGAGAAAGTTTTGTGAAAAGACAGTGGGGAGAAAAGTTTTTGGGTAGATAGAAGGGGAAAAGAGGGTAACAAGTGGGGGAAGGAAAAAGAGGGTAGCCAGCGGGAGGAAAACAAGATTTTGCAAAAAGACAGTGGGCAGAAAAGACAGACGGTGAAGAAAGAAAAGATGGTGGGTAAAAAGAGTTTGCGTAGATGGAGGGGGGAAAGAGGGTGGCGAGGAGCAGAAAAGAGGGTGGCTAGAGGGAGCGGGGAAAGAGGGTTGGGGAAAATAGTTTGGGGTAGATAGAGGGCAAAAAAGAGAGTGGCAAGCCGGATAGGGCAAAGAAGAGTACGAGTGGGAAGGGGGAAGACTTTGTGAAAAGACGGTGGGGAAAATTTGGGGGGATAGATGGAGGGGAAAAAGAAGGAGGTGAGCAGGAGTAGGGAGCAGGCTTTGCGAAAAGACGGTGGGGAAATGTTTTTAGGTAGTTGGAGAAGGGAAAGAGGGTGGCAAGGTGGAGCGGGGGGAAATACGATGAGGAAAACAGTTTTTGGGTAGATGAAAGGGGAAAAGAGGGTGGTAAGCAGCAGGAGTGGGGAGAAGGCTTTGGGAAAAGATCGGGAAATATTTTTGCTTAGATGAAGGAGCAAAAGAGGGTGAAGAGAGTGGGACGGGGGAAAAGAAGGTGGCCAGGGAGAAGGGGAAAACACGGTGGGAAAAAACAGTCAGGAAAGTGTTTGTGTAGATGAATGGGGAAAAGGGTGGTGAACGGGAGAGTAGAGAAGGGTGTGCGAAATGACGGTGGGGAAAAAATGGTAGGGAAAAAGTTTTGGGGTGGATAGACGAAGAAAAAGGGTGGCGAGGGGGAAGAGGCCAAAGGCAGTCGGGAAAAGAAGGTGGGGAAATAATGGTGGGAGACAAAGGTTTGGGGTAGAATTTTTTAAAAATCAGATTATTTGTATTTTTGCTTTTGAGTAGTTTGAGTTCTTTATATATTTTGTGTCTTAACCCCTTTGACTGACGCATAGTTTGCAAATACCTTCTTCCTTTCTCTGGGTTGTTGCTTCTACTGATTGCTTCCTCTGCTTTGCAGAAGCTTTTAAGTTTAATGTAATTACAACTTTGCTTTCGTTGCTTGTGCTTTTGACAAGTTTAATGTAAATACATCTTTGCTTTTGTTGCGCGTGCTTTTGATATCTATTAGAAAATTCCTTGTCCTAACCGATTTCATGAAGCATTTATCCTATGTTTTCTTCTCTAGTAGTTTCATAGTTTCAGGTCCTACATTTAAATCTTTATTTTGAGTAGACTTTTGTATATGGTAAGATAACAGCCTAGATGTATTCTTGTACATGTGGGTGTTGGGTTTTCCTAGCACAGTTTGTTGAAGAGATTGTCCTTCCCGAATGTGTGTTCTTGGTGTTTTTGTTAAAAATGAGTTGACTGTAAATGGGTGAATTTATTTCTGATTTCTCTATTCTGTTTCATTTGTCTATGTCTGTCTGTCATTCCTTTGTTTCTCTATCTCTCCCCCGCCCCTTTTTTAAATCATGCCATGCTATTTTGATAGTACCTGCCTTACTATAGATTTGTAATATATTTTGAAATCAGGTTGTGTGATGACTCCAGCTTTTCTTTTTATTCCAGATTCTTTGATCTATTTGAAGTATTTTGCATTTCCATGTGAATTTTAGGATATTTTTTTCTGTGTGAAGAATGTCTTGTAATTTAACACGGATTGTATTGATTGTGTAGATCACATTGGGTGATACAGATATTTCAACAATATTCTTCTAGTGCATGCACGTGGAATATCTTTTCATTTACTTGTGTCTGCTTTAATATCTTTCATCTATGCTTTATAGTTTTCATTGTGGATCTTTTGTCTTTTTGGTTACGTTTATCCCTAGATATCATTTTATTGGTAATGAAATAGATTTCTTGATTTCTTTCTTAGGTATTTCACTATTGGTGCAAGAGTGTGCTACTCATTTTTATATATTGATATTGTATCTTGCAACTTGACTAAATTTATTATTTCTAGTAGGTTTTTTGTGGAATCTTTAGGTTCTCTTTCTGCATATGATCATGTCCCTTGCAAACAAAGAGTTTGATTTCCTTTTTTTCCAGTTTGGGTGTCTTTCATTGCATTCTGCTGTCTAATTGCTCTACCTAAGACTCAGTACTATGATGAATAAAAGTGGTGTAAAAGTAGCCATACTTGTTCCAAATCTTAGAGGAGGCGCTTTTAACTTTTCCCCGTTGATTATGATGTTAGCTGTGGGTTTGTCATAGATGGCCTTTATTGCGCTGATATATGTTCCTTCTGTACTCATGTTGTTCAGTTTTTGTCATGAAGGAATGTTGATTTTTTTTCAGCATTTACTGAAGTGATTATATGGTTTTTGTTCTTGATTCACTGAATGTGATGTTGCACATTTATTTATTTGTGTTTATTGAATCGGCCTCATATTCCTGGAATGAATTCCACTTAATTATGGCTGATCATCTTTTTATGTGTTGTCAAATGCAATTTTCAAGTATTTTGTTGAGGACTTTTTGCGTCTGTGTTCATCAGGGATATTTACCTATGGTTTTCTTTTTGTGTTGTGTCCTGGTTTGGCTTTTTGTACCAGGGTCGTGCTGTCCTCATAGAACAAGTTTTGAAGCCTTCATTCCTCTTCATTTTTTTGAGGAATATTTTGAGTAAAATTGGTATTAGCTCTTTTAAACATGTTTGGTAGAATTCAGCAGTAAAACCATGATTCTTGTGTTTTTCTTTGTTGGAAGATTTCTTATTACTGCTTTAATTGCATTACTCATTATTGTTCTGTTCAGGTTTTTTATTTCTTCATCATTCTATCTTGGGAATTTGTTATGTGTCCAGAAATTTATTCATTTCACCTAGATTTTTCAATTTGTTTTTATATAGGTGTTTTTAATAATCTCTTACCATCCTTCGTATTTCTGTGTTATCAGTTGTAATGTCTCCTTTTTCAGCTATGATTTTGTTTCCTTTTTCTTTTCCTTAGTCTAGTTAAAGCTCGTCAGTTTTGATTTTTTTCTTAAAAATCCCAATTCTTTGTTCCGTTGACTTTTTGTATTTTTTGTTTCTATTTTTAAACTTTCCTCTTTAATCTTTATGATATTTTTTCTACTAATTTTAGCATTTTATTTTTCTTGTTTTTCTCATTACTTCAGGTGTACTGTCATGTTGACTATTTGAGATCTTTCTACTTTTCTGATGTAGGCATTTGTAGCTATGCACTTTTCCTCTTACAACTGCCTTTGCTGCATCCCACAGGAATTTTTATGTTTTGTTTCCATTCTTATTTGTTTCAATAAATTTTTAATTATTTTATTTATTTGTTTATTGGTTGTTCATGAGCATGTATTTTAATTTCCATATATTTGTACAGTTTTTAAAGTTCTTCCTGTTACTGATTTCTAGTACTAGTTCACTGTGGTCAGAAAAGATACTTGATATGATTTCAGTTGTTAAAAATGTGTTGTGACTTTTTTTTTTTGGCCTAACAGGTAGTCTGTCTTGGAGAATAATCCATGTGCTACTCAGTGGAATGTGCGTTGTGCAGTTGTAGAGTGCATAGCTGTGTAAATATTAAGTCCATTTGGAATAGAGTACAGTTTAACTGATGATGTTTTGGTGCCTGGATGATGTGTCCATTGATGATAGTGGGGTGTTGGTTATAGTGGAGCATTGAGGTATTCTATTACTGTATTGCAGTCCATCTGTCCTGTAAGGTCTATTGATATTTGCTTCTGTATTTAGTGCTTGAGTGCTGGTTACATATGCACTTACAATTGTTATGCTGCTGTTTACTTCTTTCTGATTATATGATTATCTTCATTTTTTTTCCTTTTTTGACTGAAAGTCTGTTTTATGTAAGTAGAGCTACTACTGCTTTTTCTGTTTCCATTGGTATGGGATATCTTTTATCATCCCTTCACTTTCAATCTATATGTTATATATGTCTTTATAGGTGAACTGAGTTTCTTGTAGGTAGTATATAATTGGGTCTTATTTTTTAATCCATTCAACCCCTCAGTCTTAATTAGAGAATTTAATTGATTTATGTTCAAGGCTATTACTAACAGGTAAAAACACACTACTGCCATTTTTTACTTGTTTTCTGATTGTTTCCTACTCTCTCTTTTTTCTTTTGTTCCTTCTCTCTTCCTTCCTCTTTCTCTTCTCTCTGATCTCTCTCTTTCTTCCTTTCTTTTCTTTCCTCCTTCCATTCCTTCCTGTCGTTATTTGTAGTGAGGTAATTTTTTCTAGCAGTGTGTTTTAATTCCTTGCTTTTAATTTTTAGGGTGTCTGTTATCGATTTTGTTTTCTGATTACCCTGAGGCTAAACAACATAATTATAACAAATTATTTTAAACTGAAGAAAACTTAACTTTGATTGGTCTCAGCTACTCAGGAGGCTCAGATGGGAGGACTGCTTGACGCTGGGAAGCCGAGGTTGCAGTGAGTTGAGATCGTGCCACTGCACTCTCCAGCCTGTGTAAGTGACAGTGAGACCTTGTCTCACAAAATAAATAAATAAATAAAAATGCAATAGCTTATAATGAATTCTGATTGTAAATTTTGAGATGATGATTGATAAGGTATAGAAAAGAAAGTGGAAATCATTCGTAATCTCATTACCCAAAGATAACTACTACTAATGTTTTGGTACATATGCTTCCTACTTCATAACCCTCTCTCCCTCACACACACACACAAATGTACGCATCCAATAGATAACATTTTACACACAAATATAATTTTATTGTAGCATTTTAAGAAAAACAGCTTTGTAATTTTTTATTTAAAAATATTGCGAATGTCTTTTGTGAATAATATTCATATAAAATATTATACATCTTAGGCCAGGTGCAGTGGCTCATGCTTGCAATCCCAGCACTTTGGGAGGCCGAGGTGGGTGGATCATGAGGTCAGGAGATCAAGACCATCCTGGCTAACACAGTAAAACCCCGTCTCCACTTAAAAAAAAAAATTGCCGGCCGATTCTCTTCTGCCCTCCCCGTCTCATGAAGCCGCTGGTAGTGTTCGTCCTCGGCGGCCCCGGCGCCGGCAAGGGGACCCAGTGCGCCCGCATTGTCAAGAAATATGGCTACACACACCTTTCTGCAGGAGAGCTGCTTCGTGATGAAAGGAAGAACCCAGATTCACAGTATGGTGAACTTATTGAAAAGTACATTAAAGAAGGAAAGATTGTACCAGTTGAGACAACCATCAGTTTATTAAAGAGGGAAATGGATCAGACAATGGCTGCCAATGCTCAGAAGGATAAATTCTTGATTGATGGGTTTCCAAGAAATCAAGACAACCTTCAAGGTTGGAACAAGACCATGGATGGGAAGGCAGATGTATCTTTCGTTCTGTTTTTTGACTGTAATAATGAGATCTGTATTGAACGATGTCTTGAGAGGGGAAAGAGTAGTGGTAGGAGTGATGACAACAGAGAGAGCTTGGAAAAGAGAATTCAGACATACCTTCAGTCAACAAAGCCAATTATTGACTTATATGAAGAAATGGGGAAAGTCAAGAAAATAGATGCTTCTGAATCTGTTGATGAAGTTTTTGATGAAGTTATGCAGATTTTTGACAAGGAAGGCTAATTCTAAACCTGAAAGCATCCTTGAAATCATGCTTGAATATTGCTTTGATAGCTGCTATCATGACCCCTTTTTAAGGCAATTTTAATCTTTCACAACTACATCTCAATTCGTGGCTGGAAAGTACATGGTAAAACAAAGTTAATTTTTTATGTTCTCTTTTTTGGTCACAGGAGTAGACAGTGAATTCAGGTTTAACTTCATCTTAGTTATGGTGCTCACTAAACAAGGGTATCAGCTAGTTTTTTTTTTTTAATTCAAAAAGAATATCCCTTTTATAGTTTGTGCCTTCTGTGAGCAAAACTTTTTAGTACGCATATATATCCCTTTAGTAATCACAACATGTTAGGATTTAGGGATACC